TTATTCCTCTCGTTTTGGCAAATCATTTGGATGTAGTTTCTGGGTTGAAAGATTTAGCATTTGGGTAAGATTTCCACCCAGAATTTAAATGTTTGGAATTGTAAGACGTGACTCTATGGCTTCCGAAAGATCAGGTTCATATAGCATAGTTTCATAAGCAAATAAGTGATTATAAAAAGTTGATCCAAGTATCTCAGGATTCTGACATTATCACATCCACTTTTCCTATTTAATGGCTTAGCATTAGGTAGCATGATGTGCGATGGTTGATATCAATACTAAATATAATAAAAAACCGTTTATTAGGACCGGTAGTCTACTTTATAGAATAAATGGCTTTAGGTTTTAGAGAACCTACGTTGGATTGGATTGGTTAGATCTTGCTGCTTTCCTGCTTCGAATTGGCTCACTTATTTGTAAGAATCCTGAGATGTATGAGCACGGCTGAAAGAAGAAAAGAGCCCATGAGTAGATCTCATTCGCCAAATCGGAGGCTTGCAAAAATGGGATACTGAAATAATATAATAAGAACATAATGTTTAGAACAAACAATTCTGGGAGTAGGGTGTAGTATGCCGAGACCAATAGGATAGAATAGAGACATCGGCAAAGGGAATCGGCCGCCAATAGAAGGAGAATCGTTTTCCAGAGAAAACGGCTTTTCCAACAATAGCACACACTGATCAGATTAACGAAAATAGAAAGAATGCCACACTGAAAATGGATTTGGTCGGGTAGGACAACAGGTAGGACAACCGGATTCGATTGGTTGAAGTGAATGAAATGGCGTTGAACTTTAAGGACAATTTTTGCATGCATAAAGCCTTCTTTAAATACACGCTTTGTTTTATCAAAAGACTCCACTATTTCTCTACAAAATGACTTTTGAGAAAGTTCCACAAAGCTTTTCTTTCGTAAAGTTTATAGGCTCGCAAACACAACTAATCAAAATGGCAAAGAGTCTGATTCATCGTTTGAATAGTTTTCTTTCACATAAACCGCCTTTTGTGTCTATATAAAAAAGATAGAGCACACTCAATTACATAGGTTTCCAAATTTTCAGGAAGATCCCTTCAATCGTTTTCTCTAGATGATAGTTTATAGATTTTGTGAAAAAAATGACTTTTCATTGATTTGAGGCGCATTCTTTTTGTTGAGCTGAAGCGCTGTTTGAATTTTCTTTTAAATGCTATTTTGTAGAGAATCAATCAACCTTTCTACGGATATGAAATTATTTGACAAAATCTGCTAAAAGTTTCTTTGATTTTTGGCGCCTTTTCATTCTCCCCAGCCCAATAAATAAACAAAAATTCAAGCAATAAGTGACAAGCATGTGCGGTACCACTTGCTTCTCTGCACCGGTTCGTGCGCCGGAGGCCCAAAAATTTTTCGAAATCGCTCAGGCTCCTGGCTCCTAGCTTCTGGGGCAAACAGCGGTCCTGGCTTTTGGTGCAAACTTTTTGGCTTTTTGGCACCTTGCTCTGGTCCGGTCTGGTCCGGTGCAGCACCGTGGTTTTGAAATGCTTGATGGACGCTAATTAAAATGTCATTTATAATCATTTATGTCACATTATGACCATGTTTTTGCTGTCTCAACTCACCACAAAATGAATGCACGTAAAACAGTGTCTCAGATCCGCGTTTCGATTTGTCGCCTTCAACATTACGCTCACGGCGGTCATGCTTGGAAGGAAGAAATAAATGACAATTAATGTAGCTAAACAAGTTACACAAGAATTGCTTAGGGAAATAGTTACCAGTGATGGCGATGAATAGGATGATCATGATGAATATTTCGAGACCGAACTCCCATTTTGAGGGTCGTTTGGTCAATTGGATGTTGATTGTCATGCCTCTTTTTGATTCTATGATTCCCGTTTTTCGCTTGAAATATTTCCAGCAACACATCCCAAAACTTTGCTTCATTCTGAAAACTTTGACAATACTTGTACAGACGTAGAATAAGAGTTTGAAAATCTTTAACGATAACTTTCGAAAAGTCTTTTTGGTTTATGGCATGATTATAGATTGATGAAAGTTTGGTAAAAACTGCTTTTGAGACTTTTAAAATTAATTATTGAATTTCAGAACTAATGCCGTTTCAACTTAGGTATTCCCTGAATTAATAAGAAAAAAGGAAATTAAAAGAAGAAAGGAAAAGGAATTTGCGACAAAGATGGAGCACCAGATGGAGCCAAACCAACGACCATCCGCTTACCGAGCGACTGCTCTAAACACTAAGCTATCGAAACACTTGGTCTTTAAGCGGTAAACTGAGCCCGGGACATAATGTCGCGGGAAATATATTTCCCTCTAGTTTTTCCTGCGGGAAATAGTTTCCCTTCCTGTCCTTTTATCATGCCATCATTTTGCGGGAAGGTTCCCTCGGGATAAGTTTCCCGCAGGAGAGATGATGGCGCAAGAAATTTCCCCGCGCGAAAGGTTTCCCGCTGCTTTCCCGCAGTATTTGCGTGGGAAAAAAAATTTGGATTTCCGGCAGCTGTTTCCCGCGACATTATGGCTCGGGCTCTGATCTTCTAAGATCAGTAAACCTACAGATCTACATCACACATTACTGTACTATTATTTGCAATGTAGATCAGTACATTACTGTATTGTAAGAGAAGAACTTAAAAGCAAGAGAAGAGTTGCAAAATGTTTTGAACTAAAAATAATTCGAGAGAAATATCTCAATTGGAAACGGTTGTCAAGCTAAAAAGTAGGGGTTTCTCTAAGGAAAAAGTTGGGTTAAACTTGCTAGAAAGGTTCAATTATTTCTTCGATCTGAAAGAGTAATAATTAGACAGAAGAAGTTATTTGGAAACGAAAATAACAGTTAATTAGAGAGCATTTTTTGATTGCCCGATCTTTTCAAGAATTATAAGTTATTTTGAGAGAAAAATACTTATAAAACTTGAAAACTTGAAGAAGTGCAGACTCACATTTGACTTTGAACAATTTTTGGACTAATCAAAGATTTCGAAGAATAGTTTCTAACGATATATCTTCCTGTTGCCACACTACATCAAATATATCTTTTTCTTTTACAATAACTAATTGGTCATTTTTCCCAGTTTTCTGTTTAAGTTCAATTATTTGAAAAACTCTCGAGGGATTCAGAATAGCCAGTGATTGATCAGAATTATAAATTGGAATCTGAAATATTGTTTTAGATTCCAATTTATAATCCTGATGAAGAAAGATCTTCCGTTTCTAGATTCAGATTTATATCAAGCTGTTTCTAGTAAATTTTCTCTGATAAAAGACAATTTTTTATATAATTCCAGCTAAGTTTTGAGTATTTATAGTAAAAGGTTCTCAAATTTATGATGATTTTCTGATAAATATTTATTCTCAAAGATTCAAATTTCAGTTATGAGGAGGAGGATTGGCTCCTTGTGCTGGATGACTGTGATAAGCATCACAGTCATCCAGTCTTTGCAACTGAGCCTGAGACTGCAGCGATCTTTTTATCGATTTTTACAAAAGCCATCTTTTCAATACCATCATCTGCAGATTTTTTCATTTGAAATTTGAGAATAGCCAAAAACAAATTGAATTGATTCTTCTCTTTCTTCATCAGATTCAAGCCTCCAAAAATTGTGTCAAGGACAGAGTCAGTCACTGGAAAACAATGATCCAAACTGGAGCTGACATTTCAGAATTCTTTGTTTAGCATTATTTACCTTTATTCTTATCTTAATTATTATCTCTTTAGACCCTGCCACACTACTTCAATATGATTTCGAAAGAGAAAGAGACTCTACACAACCGTAATAACCTTCTCCGTGTTCTTTCTCTTGTATATGATAACTTTCTCTTTCTCTTTCGAGATCATATTGAAGTAGTGTGGCAGAGTCAAAAGGGATAAGATAAGAATAAAGGTAAATAATACTAAACAAAGTATGAATAAAAGAAATAATAAATTTCCAACAAAGCACTTTTGTTTTGTTAGTGATTAATGACTTTTCTTAGTGTCGATAAGCACTGTAATAGCCTTAAAAATGGTATTTGACTGTTTTTCAAAAAAGCTTGTCAAGTTTGTTGATGGTGGGACTCGAACCCGCCACGAAAAGAACCCATGGGTTTTGTAGTCCGGCACACTATCCTCCACCTCACCGCTGCTCTTCCTTCGCTCGCGTGTGGCGCGTTCTTATTAGCTAGGTGGCGATTTTAATGGTTGAAACTTCAAATGCATTCTTCTCGCCAGGATTTAAATTTGGGCAAAAACTGAAAAGATATTTGGAATGCCCATCTCCGACTGTTGTTTTCCCTCTGAGCTTATCCTGAAACGTCAGCCCCAGTTGGGATCGTTCCCTTGTGAGAGTGGATTGTCGTTTACGCATTCAATTGCCGGCTTCGGTTGAGTACCTTGGGATAAGAGGGAAGATTTTAAAAGACGCTCATCAAAAGCAAGAAAAACTAAATACAAAAATAGAATTTTGGTTAATCTAATCTTTACGGACTTCACCCAAAACAGCTATTTGTTTCTATTTTTAAAGGTTTGCAATAAATAACAAATTCTTTTCAAATTCTTATTGAATCTTATTGGGATTGTTTTTTTATAATACGTTCCAAGTTCTGCTCAAGTTCAATTTTGCAGTTTTAAGCTTTAACAAGCTCTGAAGATCATTTCCAGGTCAATGACAATAAACTTGATTGTTCTGGGCTTTAGAAATAAGTCTTTTTCAACTTTTTTATCAGCCAATCATTCTTCATTGATTGGGTTTTTGAAAAATAAGCTGCTTATTTTAAAATTCCTATTGAATCTTATTTAAGTTACTTTTTTATAATATCTTCCAAGTTCTCCTTTGCAGTTTTAAGCTTTTTTGAAGATCTGAAGATCATTTTATTATTGCAATGTACAGAAACAATCAAGAGAATCTTGTTATAACAATCTAATCAAATATTGATCATCAGCAAATAACAATCACAACCGGTATAAAGATACTTCGTAAAAAAATGATAGAAAATCTCTTCTTGAGGAAATATTGGAATCAATCATCGCTAAAGATACGTGATTCGGAGTCTCCCTGAAAGAAAATGCTTGATAGTTATTAGAAAAATAATCAATTTCATTAATATGTTTTCTAAAGCGTTTAATCTTTTGAAAACTATCGTAATTTTGGCTGTAGACTTATCCAATCTAGCTGATTTGACTATGTAATGGTTCGAAATATCAAGCTATTGGGTTGGTGAATTGAAAACTGCCGGCTATTGTCATATGTGACAGTTTGAGCACTTTCTTCAAAAGAAATCCATTTTGGTGTCAATGGAAAAGTTGTAGAGAATCAAAAATTAAGCTTATAACCAAATTTTCAGAACGATTCAAAAACTGGTTTTCAAGAAATGCCGAATTTACGAATTTTCACAAAACTTGCATTTTAAGCGGAACTACTAAGTGCATCTTTTTGGAAATTTGGCTATAAGCCTAATTTTTTGATTCTCTACAACTTTTCTATTGACACCAAAATGAGTTTCTTTTGAAGAAAGTGCTCAAATGCTCAAACTGGGACATCTCCAGTCCTCCACTTTTGAGTCTCGCACTTGTCTCACACACAAACCAAAATCCTACTAAGAAAGAGGAATCCGCAAATTGCCTGTAAAATCGGCAGAAGTCGTCAATAATAATGGAAATTATTTCGAATGAATTTATGGTTTTATATTCAATAAATTTTAGCTCAAAGTCCCGCAGATTTCAATTCACCAACCCAATAGATTAAATAAAACTATAAGAAGGATTACGATAGCCTTCAAAAGTTTACATCTTTTAGAAATCACTTTATTTAAGAGTTTTGATAAATCTTTTTGTTTCATAAATGACTGTTTTTTTAATTGTTTCTTAAATGGCTTGTAAAAGTTACCTGAAATGAGGCTGAAGGCACACTGGGACGCTTTGACAGTTCATACATGCTGTATTGTGGGTTACCTAAAAGTTTTCTTTTGACTTATCTCGTATAATCTTTCCTTTGGAATCTAAAAAGCTAAAAATCTAGCTAAAAAACTAACCAGTAATCTCCTTGGAAATCTCGAGAAACGGTGGCAGAGTTGAATCACCTTCATTCGTCGTGTAAGTCTCCAAGATGATCACCGGACCGTGAGCGGCTGGAGGAAGAGGCTCCACGTAGACATCTAAAGTGAAGATCGGATCATATTTTATTGGGAAATTGAATTCTTTAGTCTGTTCTACTTTTTACTCACTCACCAAGATTGAAATACCGATTTCCATAAGTGAAACACCGACGTTGCTTGTGGATCGTGGCACGACTTCGGTCTTTCATTGTGAGATATCTTAAAACGGTTGATAAATGTAACAAATAGATGTAAGCTTCTAAATTTAACCAAATCTCGACTTATTTTTTGTATCCTTCAATAGAATACTAGCAAATTCATTATCAGTAGACGTGTGAACTTTAACTGCAAATATTTGAAGTAGCTAGGCTTGAGTTTTTGCCCTATCAAGACTGTAATAGTGCCCCACCCCCATAATGACGGTGCGGAGCGTTGCATAGTCTAGCTTTGAACGAGTTTTTCTCGCCACTGGTTTATGCTACAATGCGCGCTTAGGTATCAAAAAATAGCCCTGAATTTCAGCTATTTTTTGATACCAAAGACGCATTTTTTGAAACTACGGGCGCTTTGAAAAAAATGAAATACTGAAAAACTTTTGCGACTACGCGACTGTACGAGGGGGGTGGGGTACTATTACAGTATTTACGGTATCTATTAGAGATGGACCCTACAAACTACAAGTTCAAACTACAAACCCGCGTAGAATTGCATAGAATAGATATTTTTAAAAACTTTTTTTTTTCAAAAAACAAGCCAACTTTAGGCTTTCGAATGACACTAAAATCAAGAAAATGAACCATTTTTACTCTGAGAACGAGCAATTTATATCCGTTTGTAGTCTCGTCTTAACTACAAACCTTAAAAAACGTTATATCTCAGTGCAGAGAACATGATTTGGTTTGATTTTTGTGTGATCCGAAAGCCTAAAGTTAGCCCGACCTTTTGGTAGAAAAAGTTTTCAAAAATATCTATTCTATGCGTTTCTACAATGGTTTTTAGTCTGAACTTGTCGTTTGTAGAGACAATGTCGACTATCTATCAAGTCATTCTAGTAAATATTGCTAAATTCTTTGCTAAATCCTTTGCTGAGTTCAATTTCATTTCGTGATTAACTTATTGGTTTCAAACCTCTGATACTCTCTCTCACTGATCTTCATCCTCGTCTCCACCGTTTCTCCATTCAAAAAGTGTCTGGAAGTGATTGTATAAGTTGTCCGATTGTTTTGCATTCGTGAACGGATTCGAATCTGAAATTGAGTATTGCAAAGAAAGGGCCGTATTCTTACCTGAATGGCAGGATCGTCACTCAGCAAATAATCATGTGTGACTTTAAACTCTTCAGTTTTCGGAAAGTCGAGCAAATCGAGTGATCGCACGAGCCACTTGCGTTTTCTAAAAGTTATCAGAAAGTTTTTAAAGTTATAAGAAAGCTTAAAAGAAAGCTTATAAGAAAGCTTATAAGAAAGTTTTCTAAAAATTTGCCCTGAAACTTTTTCAAACCAACTTGCTGTTTTTGTGTAGCCGATCTCCGGTCGGAATCCCGATTCTCGAGCACACCACCTCTATTAACTTTAAGATTTTATCATCAAAGCTCTTGCAATTTGAGTTGTCAATAATGTCGACGTATGGATGACCAATCCAAACCTAAAATACTAATTTTATATAAATTCTAATTGAAACGAACTTGTCTTGTGAGATCATCTTGTTTCTTTGCTGCATCAATTCCCTCTTTTCTTGTGTTATTGTTTGATAAAGTGTAGAAGTTTTCAGCTCCATCCGCAGCAGTCACAAGGTGACAAATCTAAAAGTATTTAGAATGAAACTGTTCACAAAATGATTTAGATTATTATTTAGATTTTTTTGGTTCATTTACCTGATTGTATCGATCCTCTCTCAATGAGAATTGATCGACATTGCATTCGGAAAGCATTTGATTCCATCCTTTATCATCTGAAATGGAGTGAATTGATGAATTTGGTAAACACTTCCTTTCTGGTGCACTTAATTCCTCGTTTTTCTCTCAAACAACAAGTTATTGCTTTGAAAAAATCTAGAATCAAGTACCACATACAGTTTGGATTTCAATTCAGATCTTAGAGCTCAAAGTACACTGAAAGAACAAGTCTATTATCTAATACTTCTTACTATTTCGATGGATTATTGCTTAAATTGCTTCAAAATGTCTTAAAGCTCAAGAAAATTGGCTTAAATCTTTTTCAGAATTTCAACTCACCAATGTAAGCTGATGGATCCATTGCTCCTCGATCGCAAATCACGAGCACATTTCTGTCATTTATCAAAGCTGCTTGGTTGAAAAACACCTAAAACACATAAAGTTATTTATGCAAATTGAACAAAAATTTGATACAAACATCTTCAATTCGAATCAGAGTCTTCAATAAGTCTTTCTGGAATTCATACGTCTGTTGAGGAGTCAACTCCTGAAGCCAAAAGTTAGCAAGAAATGCTTCGTTACCTTCGGAATGCCTGAAATTTCACGCCTCCTCCCAGAAGAACGGTGGCTGTCTCGGGAACGGTGAACACCTTCCAGCCAAGATTCTCGAAAAATGTCGCGAGGCGTTCCTGAAATTTGTGTTTATTTTTTATTGATGTTTAATTACCCAGTTTTTCTGTTAATTGGGAATCTGAGAGAGTTTTTTTTGATCTACTGGGTGACGCGCAGATGGCACGTTCTTCTTAATGGTTTTGAGGGCGCCTACTCAAAATTTTGGTAGTTTTTTCTGTTTTTCTTGTCAATTAAGATTTTGACAATATCTTATTTGCTTTTATTTTTGAAATCTCAGAATGACGAAGAAATCGGAGCACAGATCGATCATCAACTACAAACAGGGAATGAGACAGAAAGCATTTTCCTTCGATTGATGGTGGCTAAGTCTGTTGTTTAAAAGACAATTCAATGCTACAAAGCCTTGGGAAGAAGTTCCGATCGACCAGGACGAGGCCCAAAGACGACAGTGATGACAAAGGAGAGGGTGAAGAAAGTGCTAAGCCTAAGCCTAAGCCTACGCTACAAAGAAGCTCGTTCTCAACAAAAATTAGCCTCAAAAATTGGTATCTCAAGACGTTTGATGGGATTGGATTTCAGCGTTTGGAGTGTCCTAGAGGCCAAGGCATGCTTTAAAGCTCATTCAACCATTGATTCTTTGAGGAAATCTCTTCAAAAGGCTCGACGTCGCCTATCATTCTGCCATCGTTGATGCCTTTCCGCGCCGTCTTCAATCATGTATCGCAGCGAAAGGAGATCTTATTGAAAAGAACTAACTCTTCTTTTTTTGGGATATAAAGAATAGATTTGTTGGTTATTGTTAACAACAAACAGTGATTATTAAGCCAGAAATATATTGGTTTCCGTAATTGCGCGTCACCCTGTATAGTGCAAATACAACTCAAATTCATTTGTACTTGTACTGCCAGCCTAAATCCCATGATTTCATTTAAAACTTCTGCTACTTCAAAACAAATTCTTGCTTTTACAGGTAAAGTTGCTCAAGATTGTAAAGCGTCATGCCGAATGACCAGAATTAGCCTTGGCCTAATATTCTTAGCCATTTTATCGTAAGTGAGTTGCGAAATTTTATCATTGCAGTAAACTGCACCTGTCCTGTAGTTTTCCCTCCGCACGGACCTCCAGTTAGCACCAATTTGTAGACTCGTTTCGCAGCTGGTGATTGTGGCTCTGACTTGGGCAGAGTTTCCATGGTATTCCCCGTCATTGCCAAGAGTAAATGACCGAACTCTTCGGAGGTCCTAGAAATGGTTCATTACTTAAACCATTCCTCTCAATGACTCACTTGTAAACGGGACTACAATACCCGTCGTCGGGTGTACAACAGTGGATGGCCTCCTGATTTGTGCGGCACGCGGCAAGTCCACCCGGCTCGGGAACTGGAAACATTTGATGAACAATTTAACAAAGATAAAGGTGGTAAAAAAATATTAAATCTAGTCATTTTAAAGGTTGGATTTGATAGTTTGTTAATCTAGTGAATTGGAAAATGATTTCAGTTTTAGGAAAAAATTCTTCAAGTGTTGTATTCTGAATTTAAATTTATAGTTATTTTAATAGCGTTTATTATGCACCACGATGTCAATAGAGAGTTTTAATTTTATGGCAAGAATCTCATGGTGATAGTGAAAAATTGTGTAAGGCGTCAAGAAAACAAGAAATTCTCAAAAAAAAGTGTAAAAATTGCCTTAAAGAAAACATAGTTTTGGCACAAGGCGTGCCACCAATAGCCATTTAAAGTTTTTCTAAAATTCTGTTTGAAAAAGGGCCTTTTTTGAAACACACTGTAAGTCTGGCTCAAAAGCTTTAAAATTTTAGCTTAAAATGGTGAAAAAATGATCGGAAAATGCTTATGAAACTTGACTGCAGCCAGTTCAAACTCTGGCTACTAGTCAGTGTATGTATTACCCGCGTAAAGGTTGATTGGATATCAAAAATTACCAAGACAACTTCAAAGAGCAGAGCTTACTAGCAATTAATTTAGCTTTAGTCTGCCTTAACTCTAGCATGACAATTCCAAAGGCTAGTGAAAAAAAATCATAGCCTCATAGACCAAATTTAACTTAATATTACTTAACTTAAGCAAAAAAAGAACAAGTCTGTTAAAAGGTTTAAAACAGAAGCTCAAAGAAGAAGCTAGACAGCTCAAATCAGCTCAAACTAAACAGCTCAAACAAACTATCAAATCCAACCTCTAAGCTGACTAGATTTAACATTTTTTTCAAATTTCATGGTGATGGTGAAAAATTTTCGTATATAAGGCGTCAAGAAAACAAAAAATTCTCAAAGAAAAGTGTAAAAATTGCCTTAAAGAAAACATAGTTTTGGCACAAGGAATGCCACCAATAGCCATTTAAAGTTTTTTTTAAATTGAGGTTGAAAAGGGGCCTTTTTTTGAGACACTGTAATTTGAAAAACTACCGAATCTTACTTTTAGATTTTGTTTGATTTCCTTTATTTATAATCTCATCCAATAAGGAATCAAACTGTGAATCGAATGAGAGCAAAATCAAGTAAATCAGATAAAATCTTAAGAAAAAATTACAGTAATCTTATAAATTTGACATTTTTTTAGAAAACAAACTCGTAAAGAACAAATTTTAATTGCAAACTGAGTGACCAGGTGAATAGAAGGGTGGTGCACAATAATGAAAACTCGGTTTTTCGACTGTAACTCGACATCCAATTATTCAATTCCCTTAATTTAATATTTATATGAAATTTCAAGTTAATTTCTGCGCACAATTTCATTTTTTATTTCAGAAACACAGTGTTATGCTTTTTAAAAAGTACTTCGAAGTTCATCGGTACCAACCTCTTCACTGACGTTTTTTGGCAAGATTTGCACATATTTTGAAGAATTTCCCGCTTCATATTTACTCATTTTTACTTTTTATTAAGAAATAGCATTATCTGGAGCATTTTACATCAGAAGATTTTCAATAATTTCAAAATTTTGAGAGCCATTAGTTGAATCCCCTGAAAGCTGAGCTGAGCAGAGCAGCGATCTGTATAGTGACTCCCTTTCATTTAAAATCATTCCTGATTTGCTGTCTTGCAAATTTAATGCATTTATTTTGTGATCTTTGTCTAAATTTAACTAAAAAGTAGAAAAACAACTAAATAAATTGATTGATTTGTTGAAAAGAACTATCGAAAACGATGATTCTGCCGAAAGGTTAGCACCTTTGAAATTGCTACACTGCTCAGCTTTTAGGGGATTCAACTAATAGCTCTCAAAATTTTGAAATTATTGAGAATCTTCTGATGTAAAATGCTCCAGATAATACTATTTCTTAATAAAAAGTAAAAATGAGTAAATATGAAGCGGGAAATTCTTCAAAATAAGTGCAAATCTTGCCAAAAAACGATTCAGCCAAGAGGTTGGTACCGATGAACTTTGAAGTACTTTTTAAAAAGCGTAACACTGTGTTTCTGAAATAAAAAATGAAATTGAGCGCAGAAATTAACTTGGAATTTCATATAAATATTAAATTAAGGGAATTGAATAATTGGATGTCGAGTTACAGTCGAAAAACCAAGTTTCCATAATTCCAGAAGCCCTTTAGCAAGATTAAAATCAAATAAGTGCATTACTGAAGCCTTGTAAACATATTAAAAAGCCAAAAAGTGAAAAACATTATTGTTTTCCTTTTCTTTTGCTATCTTTTCAAATGCATTAATTTGAAAGATCTCACTCAATATCGGTGCCGCACGCGGATGAATCAAATTAAATGCGAATCGCGTAGAGCGCTGAGAAATTGGCATGGTTTTAGAAAATCATATGAGGAAAATATGGCTTCCAGTGAATTTGGTAGCAATTTTATCGGGTTTTTTTGGAGAAAAACAATAAAGAGAATGAAGAAAAATAGGAGTATGTGGTGAGAAAAAAAGGCGGAAACCCTATCGCAAATTCGGTTCTCTTTGAGAGAAAATGGGTTGTTTACGCTGACAATGGCTGTGACTTCTTGCGAAACATTTGAAAAGGAACAAAAGAAAACAAAGATCTTGGGAATGCTTGAAACAATGTTTTTTTTAAACTTTTATGATCAGATGATCAAATTTCCTATAGTTCAGAGATGATTCGGGGCCCATTCGGTTCCTATTCGGGTCCTTTACGGTTTCCATTCGGTTCCTATTCGGGTCCTTTACGGTTTCCATTCGGTTCCTATTCGGGGAACCGAATGGAAACCGAAAAGAACCTGAATGGGAACTAATGAGGAACCGAATAGGAACCGAATAGGAGCTGAATAGGAACCAAATAGGAAGCGAATGGGAACCAAATAGGAACCGATGAGGAACCGAATAGGAACCGATGAGGAACCGAATAGGAACCGAATAGGAACCAAATAGGAACCAAATAGGAAGCGAATGGAAACCAAATGGGAACCGATGAGGAACCGAATAGGAACCTAATAGGAGCCGAATAGGAACCGATGATGAACCGATGAGGAACCGAATTGGAACCGAATAGGAAGCGAATGGAAATCAACTGGGAAACGAATGAGCTGCTTTTCGTTCACGAAGCAAGTCTACTCTATTAGAGCTTCTTAAAAAATGGACAATTTAAAATGACATCATCTTTCCATCGTAAACTGAATTTTGATTTTATTTGATGAGGAATAAAAGTGTGAACTTTTTAGAAAATGCAACTAAAGTAGTTTTATTTTAACTCACAACTAGTAAAATGTTTTAAATTTTTAAGCTGGATACGGTAGGTAAAAGCATTCAGAAAACGGTTAATCAAATATATTATAAATCGGTTTCTTCATGACAATTGAAAAAGCCCTCAGGAAACGGGCAATCAGTTGAAAGTTGAATCAGTTGAAGGCAATCAGTTGAAAGTGAAAGAAGGGTAAATTTTTAAATACATTAGTACATTTTGAAGTTAAGCCTGCATATTCTAAAAAAAACTCTATCATTTTAATCGTCTTAGTGATGAGATCTAAATCAATTTGACTTCAAAAAAGATTTGACGACCAAAAATTATCTTCACGAAGCAAAAAGTGTCTAGTCAAAATATTTTCTAAACACTCGGAGATTTTGATATCGAAACCAAATCAAAAATGAGAGCTATTTTTGAAAAGAATCTTTTTTTTTTCTCTTTGTGTGTAAAAAATGAAAAAACGGGGGAGAGATTTTTTTCTCAATGTTTTCTTCGTGTCAGTTCGTTGGAAAAAACGATGGTTGCCTTGGTAATGAATAAATTATCGCGGAGATGGGAAAGCGGGAAAGAAACGGGGAAAGTTGGCGCGAATGATTGGAAAAAGGACGGTGTTTAGAAAGTCTTTATATACTTTAGAAAGAGTTTATTTTGATTAATCATTAGCTACTGTTTTAAATGAGTATTTGTTCAACCTAAGGTATTTCAGACAGTTTTGGTTAGAGGAATGTAGAATTTCTATCAAAACTATAGCCAAATTTAAAGCAAAAGTTCCCCAGGGATTTGTGCATAATGATCCCTATAATGAAAGTGAAAAAGCTCAGTCCTTCACCGCTTAGAGCTTTCCAAAAAAGAAGCCTTTTATACCGAACGGGTTTGCCAGATGGAGAGCGATTATGGGACCACACAAACAACAACTCGCCAGTCATTTACTTTAGTCATTTACAGGATTTCTCTTTTACTTTGTAAATGGCCTCAAATAAAGATATTTAGCTGTAAATTTGTAACTAGGGGTTTTTGGGGTCAGGAAATCGATTGGCGCTATTTATTTTATCGAGTTACTAATTAGAACTCATGTTTATTTAAGTAGTGGTAGTGAAAGTAACGATATGTTATGGGATAGTAGTTGAAGCATGTGTAGCTTTTAAATCAAGAGTAAAATCAGTAGCTAACCCTCTTGTGAGGTCAGTAGCTTTTAAATCAAGAGATCAAGAATCAAGGCCAATAAACTAAGAGAGAACAGCAGGATGACTTTAAGATAATGAAAAAGAGCCAATGAAGAATGATTGGCTGATAAAAAAAGTTGTAAAAGACTTATTTCTAAAGCCCCGAACAATGCAGTTTATTGCCATTGACCTGGAAATTCTCTATGAGCTTTAATTTTTTGAAAATTGGGAAATCCCAGTCTAATTGGCATAAGTAAAACCGTATAAATTAAAATTCTTTCTAAAATTGTTTTTAGCTCAAACAAAAGTCTGTTTAATTCTCAAAAACAAGACTCAAATCCATAAAACGCAGGGAATATTGGCTGATGCAGAAGGCCCGTCTCTTTTCGTCTTCCACAAACCACAGACTGGCCTTTTGCCAATAGGATTCATGCAAAAAAAGAGTAAGGAAATGAGCGAGTAGCAGACAGAAAAATGCATTAGATGTGAAGCTCAATCGAAAAGAAAAAGGATGAGTGGATGAAAAAGGAAAAAAAATGCAGAATGCAGAGGAAAACACGCGAGAAGCCCAATTTGCGCCCTTTCAACGCCAACGGGGAACCCCCTTTTCTAGAGAGATGCCCTGGGGGAACATCCCGGAAATTTCTTTAGATTTACTTAGGAAAAGAATTGCATTTTATCTTCTGAATCTTGCTTTTTGCAAGTAAACAAAAGTTTGACATTAAACTAGTTTGCTTAAAGTTAAAGTTAAAGAAGACATTAAAGTTCGAAAATGACTAAATGCTGAAAAATTAATGCTTCAGGAAAGTAGATATTTAATAAATGGCTTAGCTCAGTGCTTGAGTATTAAAATTTTACTTTGTTTAGCTTTGCAAAGCCAAGCTTTGCTTTACTAAGCTTTGCTTTACTTAGCTTAGCTTTGCTTTTCTTTGCTTTGCTTAGCTTTGCTTTACTTAGCTTTGCTTTACTTAGCTTTGCTTTGCTTAGCTTTGCTTTACTTAACAAATTGCTTAGTAAATTTGTGAGCAAACTGTGCTAAGCAAATTTGTGAAAGCTTTAAATCTTGACCCCTAGAAGTCTAGATTACAGCTTTCAATTTGAATTTACAATATTTTGAAAAATTATCTGTGGGTTTGTGTGTCTCTTATCACGATTTCGATCAAAAATGTAAGAATTTTGCAAATTTTGATTACTCTCCCCGTCTTTCACACTCGATTAGCCTTTTTTACTTGCTTTTAATGGCTCTTCTTTGTGTCTTTAACCTAAAATTTATAGAAAATCGTGGATACCCAATCTTGACGTAAACTTTTAAGCGAAATATCTCAAAATTTTCAAACCGTCATCCCCAAAGGACATACACCATCGGAATCAGCGCAAAAAACTGAACAAGATGTGCTAGGTCTCTGCTCAAAACCAAGGTGTAAATCCAAAAGCATCCCTAGTAAGGGTAATCGAGTGTGGAAGATGGGGGAGTGATCAGATTTTCAAAATTTACATTTTTGATATCAAATATGCAAATTTCTGAAAATGAATGAACCGACGGGAGTAAAATGAAAGAAAAGAGTGCTTTTGTATGCAAATTTTTAAGGTCAAGGCTAATTTTAGCAAACCGGATGCCAAAGCATAGTTTTAGGATAATTTTAGCAAAGCAGTTGGTATAAACATGATTAGGCTGCAAAAAAAAGCATCGTTAGATTTTGATAGGGTTTAGATTTGATAAGATTTCTACAAGAAGTAGAAATTTTAGATCTTTTAGAAGAGATTCTATTAGTTAAACAGTCAATAAATCTTATAATAAGCGAACACTTTTCAAAGCTACCTTGAGAATGCAGCGTCATCGTTGGAAGAGCGATCGGCACCGTGGAGCTCTCTTTTCCTGAAACTTGTTCATAAAAGATAAAAGTGAGATTGAAAAACGATAGACATTGTTTTGATCTCGAGATTTAAGCGAGATTATTGAATGGATTGGAGAAGATACGAGAAAGTGTGATAGAGAGGAGGCAGTGGAATTTGACCGGAAAGAGGAGAGTCTATTTGCAAAGATCTTGAAGGATTTGATTGCTTTTTTTACATATAAGATTATAGTTAAAAGTTTATAGCGTTAAAGTTAAGGATTATAGTGTTTAAGGTCAACAAGCAGCTAAGAATTTGAGTGTTGAACATGGGTATTTGTAAGGTAATTGTCTTGGCCTATGGTTGAAGCTATTTCTCTTTCGGATACAAAGAAATTCAGATATTCAGAGAAAATGACGTCAAAAAAACCAGTCAAACTAAAAATTGATGATCTTTTCTTCAATTCCTTCCCCTGAAAGCCGGTAGTTAGATAAAAGCCTGGGTTTTCAACAATAACAAAGCTCCTGTCAGCTTGAGTTATGAATAGTGAGTAAAAAGCATATAAAAATATGAAAAGTAAAGACTTAGGCAAATTTAAAATTAAGATTTTAACACATTTAACACACTGGCGACAATAGGACTCATCGGTGGATCTCATAAGAAAATTGGTATACCTTAAAAGCTCTAATAGAAAAGCCTAAGCCTAAGCCCCTTCTAGGACTGTTGCGTAATCTAAGTTTACGCTCAAAGTAACCCTCATATCTAGCCCATACGCTCATACACGACGCTCCGTAATTACGTTTACTCTATCGGTTAAAAGGCGAAGTACCGTAAAAGCTCTAATAGAAGCACCCCCTATAGGAGCGTCTGTAGGACTTAAAAAAAGTACTGTAGCTAAAAACTAATATTTGATTCGTATTCCCCATCCCCAAAAACCCTAGTATACAAATTTTCAACTTAATCAGCTCATAAATTGCCGTAAAAGCTCTAATCGAAGCACCCCCTATCGAAGCGTCATGTAGTCTAAGTTTACACTCAAAAAACCGCTCATATCTCGACACCAGTACCTTTGTCCATGCGCGCTTAGGTGTCAAATTAAAGTAAAAAGATAGGAGATTTTTTCGAGATATAACACATATTTTTAGCATTAACCAGCGCTTAGAAAAAAAAGATTGAAAAGTGTGAAAACCGGGTGTTTTTCACCATTTTTCAATCACTTTCTTCTAAGTGCTGGTTAGAGCTAAAAATACATATAATAACTCCAAAAATTCCCCTATCTTTCTACTTTAATTTAATACCTAAACCCGCAGAAACAAACGTACTGGTGTCGAGATATGAGCGTTTGTTCGAGAGTAAACTTAGACTATGCGACGCACCTAACAGGGGCTCTTCTATTAGAGTTTTTACGGCAATTTATGGACTGATTAAGTTGAAAATTTGTATACTAGGGTTTTCGGGGATGGGGAATACGAATCAAATATTAGTTTTTGGCTACAGTAACCCGGAATACTCGAAATAGGAGTTGGGGGATTATGAGAATTTCTCAACTTCGATATTCAAGAAACTTTTCTCCTTTTAAGATAAAAAAGTGTTCATTTTGATAAGAACAATGGATAATTTAGATAAAAATGCTTTAGATAGCTTGAATAATGATGCTACTAAGTAGCTAAATAATGTCTACAAAGTTTTCTTTTCTTTTCGACTCGAAACTAGAAACCAAGCTGTTGAATATTTCATCCCTACACCCTAAGCAAAAACGTTTTATATTTTAGAACCATAAATATTTGATTAAAGTCATAAAATACCTCAAAAACCTTTATCATCCCGAAGAATCTAGTCTCAATTTCTCTGTTTTTTTAGCCCCGCCAAGTGAGTGACGCCAAGGGTTCACCCAAAAAGGAAAAAGATCGGTTTTGGCCTCCAAAAAAATCGCCAAAGTTCATTCTATTAAAAGAAAAACGATCCGAAACAGATCCATCTTTCACTTTTCTCAATGACACTATTGGATTTTTGATTTTAAAGAAAAATTCGAGCCAAAATCTGTGTCGACAATCTTTAGATCTTTTCCCGGTTTCCTTTGAGCGGTCAAGTGTCTTTTTGTTCATTCCTTTCCCTATTTGAACTTTGATTTTCGTTTTTGAATGAATGGAATTCAAGAAAAGAATTCAGTGATTAATGTAAATGGAATAGTGATTTAAAAAAGAGAACAAGTTTTCGTGTTTTAAGTCTGGCAAGAGATGTTTATTTAGTAGGGGTTCAAAAGCTCAAATCTAGGGAAAGCTGTAAGGACTTGGCTTTGGTGGATTGAATTGATCTAGCTTTATGGATAATCTAAAAACTTGCCTAGGATTGCACTTTCAATAATTTGTTGTCACGATAACACTCGTCACGATTTCACAAAAACTAAGCATCAGATTGGGATGAAACTTTGGCACAAAAAGGGCAACTCTCTACTGGTTATGCACAAAAAAATTCAGAAAATGTTATAGCTTATCTCTTTAGAAAATCGGAAATCAATGACGTGCCAAGTCATGCTCTTTTAAAATCACCACTTGCTTTGATTTTACAATTGCTCTTTTCTCTTGGGTATCACTGATTTAAGAACTGACCCAAAAATTGACTATTTTCAGTCAAGCGGCTGCCCCTCAAAAACTGGGCATCAGATTGGAATGAAAATTTAGCGCAAAAAGGGCAACTCTGTACTTGTTATGAGGCAGAAATGTCAGAAGAAGTTATGGCTTAAATTTTTAGAAAATGGGAAAAAAGAAATATGCCAAGTCGTACTCACCAACTCAATAGATAACTTTTTGTTAGCACATTTTAAGTATTGTTTTCTTTGCACGATTAGCTTTTGAATTTCTCTTTTACCTTGATCTAAGCCTAAAGATGATAAAGGTTACTCCAAAAAGCTAAAAGCCAATCAAGTCAAGTCAAAAGACAGTCAAGCGGTCAAGCGTCAAGCGTATTTTCGGTCAAGCGACTGCGCCTCAAAAACTGGGCATCAGATTTGAATGAAAATTTAGCGCAAAAAGGGCAACTCTGTACTTGTTATGAGGAAGAAATATCAGAAAATGTTATAGCTTATCTTTTTAAAAAATCGGGAATCAGTAACGTGCCAAGTTATGCTCACCAACCCAATACAAATGGATACAATCAATCCTTGATATAATATAGTCAACTGAACAAGACAAAAAAGCAAAAAGGCCAAAAGAATCCTCCATAAATTGAGGATTGAATAAAGATCTCCAAAAAAATAATTCCTGATTTGATCACTAGGAAATTGTTTTCCAGGGAAAACCATTTCCGACCTGAAAATGATTGATCTCAACTCAAAACTGTTTGCATAATAAGTTTTGTTTCTAAAAACCAAAAAAACAAATCAAAAACGAACAACCTTAGACTATATTAGACTCTTAGACTCTTAGACTTATTTATTGAGAAATCTTAGACTCTTAGACTTATTGATTTCAGTCAAAAAGTTTCCGCCTTTTTTTCCATGTTTTGAACACAGCTGATTTGAGCATAAAAGTATTGAAATCAGCTTATCTCTTCGAATTTCTCTTGAAGTAAGCCGCTAAACTCTCATAAAAAGTGGGAAAAGCGGGTTCAGCCGGGAAAATTGTTTGTTTTCTCGATCGTTTTCTCGATTTAAAATCCTCAAAATCAAAAATTTTAAAAACTAATCAAGATTTTTGATTAAGATTTGCAGAAATTGTTGAATCAAAACGAGGAAAAACCTATAAAAATCATAAAGTCAAATTGGATTTTCGCAAAACTAAGCACTGTCATTTTATTCGTTCGAAAAACTAATCAAAGCTGATTTTTGATGGAAATAATCATTGCTTTGGACTGAAAAAAAGAAACAGAAACAGAAACAAAAATCGAAAAACAAAACCCAGCCAAATATCGTCATTTTTGAGCACGGCAGTGAAATTGACGAAACCAAAAATGACTAAACCATGAAGCTGATGATGATAAAGCAATTTTTGACCTTAGCAGTCTTATTCTTTGAGCTCAGTTGATCATTCGATTTGTGAAGTGAAAGAATTTGAGACGCTAGAATGTTTCCTTTGAATTCGAATTGGATACAAGGGACAATTTGCTACATATTAATTATACATGCGTCCGTCTCTCTACTTTGCTTACAAGCCGAATTGGACAGTTCACGTTCTATGATAGTTCATAAAGCACATAAGCTTTATGAGTTAAACTTTTTTACTTAAACATTTCAACACTTTTTAAAAGTTAAGAAGAATTTAGTAAAAAAAAGATAAGACTCAATAAAATAAACCATTTGCCTTTTTGATCGATTCACCGTTTCTAAAACGCTCAATGAAGATAGAGTCAAGTCACTAGCCAGATTGGCCAGGCTTCTGACTTTGCCTTGTCTGATTGCTAATGGCTTGACTCACAAAAGGTTCCTGGATCTGTTAATAGCCTGTCCTGAACCTGGTCCCGAACCTGAACCTGGTCCTGAACCTGAATCTGAACCTGACCTTGAACCTGAACCCGGCCCTGAACCTAAGCCTGAACCTGAGCTTGAACCTGGTCCTGAACCTGAACCCGGCCCTGAACCTGACCCTGGTTTTATAATTATACAGATTTTGGATATTTTAACTTTTCAAGATAAAAATACATGTATTAAAACTGAAACTCAAAAAAAATCTAGACAGATATCCAAAAAGTTGGCCACGTTCACTTATTGAAAAGAACAATCCGAACATAAGGATAACTGATTTAAACAAAAAGTAAAGTCGATCTAATTAGGGAAGTTCAATATAACAATTGATCACATTGCTAGAGTCGAGATCATTCCGGGAGAGGGGAACAGCCGCCTTTCCCCCTTACAACACATGCCCTTTTGCCCTTTGTTTCCCAAAATCACCATCATTTTCATGTGTTTCTCCATTTTTCTCCAACTTTTCCCTTCCAAGACTTTTTTCATTGGACAAATGATCCTTTTGGCTCAAAGCTCAATGTGAACAATTGTTCGCTGAGTGTTTAACCCCTCACGTCATTTTCTTCATTGAAATTGAATCAAAAATCTCTAGACTTTCAATTTTTGAACATATAATTGAACATTTAGTCATGGCTTATTTTTGAATTAAAGCTTTTAACTAATCGCCAAGCTGTGAATCACAAGAAAATGCAATGAAGTTTTAGGGAGAGTTTTTGTTATCATAATTTGAGTCACTGATACAACTTTTACGAGTGCTAACTCAAAATGAAAAAGAATTTGAAAAAGCTGAATCACTCAATATTATAAAGATTTAGATCAAGCTTCAAAATTAGCCAAAGCATTAGAGAAATCACCAAATTCTCAATCGCAGTTGACAAATTCAATAAGAGATTATGATGAGCTGAAGCAAAGAATCGAAGAATTCAACTATTAGGTTGGAAAGAAAGTTCTCGGAAAAGTTTGACTGGAATTTCTTAAAAACGAATCCACTAACTCAAGAACATTTTGTTCTATTATTTACAAGTCGACTCCAAGAAATGACTCATAAAAAATGAGTTCAGCTTTCCCTTAAAATTTTAGAGATTTTTCAAAAAATGATTATTTTCCGGCTTAAATTCAGCTCACTTTTTTCAGAAAAAAACGATTTCTTATGAGGTAAAGCTAGGATAAATGAGCAATACGCTCTATAATCTCTATTTTTGGTCAAAAATGTTTTACAGAGAAGCTGTATTTCAAAAAAATCATCTTTTGGTGTCATCTTCTTGGCACAGAGTGTTTGCTAAAATAGGTGATTCTGAAAAGTTAAAGCATTAGATTGCCTTAATCAAAATTTGCCTTAATCACAAATTTTCCCTATTTTAAGTACTTGATTTTAGGTTTTGAATGGGACTCATTGCCTATTCATTAACCCATTAAAACCTTGTCTAAAGGCTGGGCACTCAAAAAGTGACCAAGTCATTTCAGCTGAAGAAATCTCTGATTTTTTTGGTTAAAAACTTTTTGAAATATAGTCAAGTTTATCAAAAAATCTGGGAAGAATTCATGGCTTGGTTTTTGAGAAATCACTGTGCAAATGAACTTTCTTTTCTATTTCTATGAACTTTCTTGTTAATCTAATATTTGACCTGAAAAAAAAGCACAAGTTTCAGTTTACCGTATTCTCTCTAATAATGGTGCACTCTCTAAAAGTATTGTGGTCCGAGAGGGGGTTGAAAAAATAGTAGTGTACCCACGAAAATTTGAATTTTTGGTGCTTCTTTTTCATCTAAACCTTTTTGACTTTATGTTTATGTGACATTCTAAAGCTATTCAAGCAAGCAAAAGTGAGGCTTTTTTTATTCATTTATTAACTATTCTTCACATGAAAAAGTTAGCAAAAAATCTAAAATTGTTGTGCAAAGGGCAAAAACATCTTTTTATTGTTTGTCAACACACAAATTGTCAACTCGCCGGCCCACAACTGTATGTCAAAAGGAGCCAAAGGAGTACGTGAAAGAATTACAAGAATTTTTGGAACAAATCTTATATCTGTCTGACTTTGGTAAATGATAAAACTCTTTAATAGTACTGCACTCTCTAATAGTATTGCGGTCCAGGAGGGGGTTCAAAAAATAGTAGTGCGCACTACTATTAGAGAGAATACGGTATATTCTTTTTTGTAAGTCAAGAGATTTCCGGAATGAGTTAAAAGTTTTCCTGGACAAACAGTGTGTTCTTGGAATGAGCTCAAAAACTATAACATAGTTTTAACAATCTGTCGTGGAAATTTTCTAGTTTGTTTACGATTTATGAGTGAAAAATAACTGCCTTAAACATAACAAAGTTTTACAGCTTTGAAGAGTCAATAACTTATAGATATATGTTGTAGAATTTACAGAATAAATAACTGATAGATATATCTCTTTTTTATCGTTGAGTTGCTAGTAATAAAAGCTAAAAGTGACTTGTCTTTGATTTAACTTGGATTTGAGGTTTAGCCTAACTTAGATTTGAGGTTTAGCCTGCAAAATCAATTCTAGCTTTAATAAAAGCTCGAATTCTGGCTACTGGGAGGTCAAAGTATGATATTTTGTGTAAAACTAACCCAAATCTGATCCTTGGTTTGACCTAGCGCCTAGCTAACCCTGATATTCAATTGATTCTTGCCAATTTAACATCTATTGACAACTTGATTAGAAATTAGTATAACTTTTAAAGTCAAATAGTCAAAAAGCCAGTCAAATACTTTTAGATTTTAAAGTAAAATAGAAAGTAAACCGCTTTTTCATGATCCTTTCCTATACATTGTTCTTTTGATCTCCGACTTTTTCTCCATTTCGTTCAATTTTTCTCCTTTCCCATGTGGTTCTCGATTTCTCGTGTTGTAAAGAAAAAAAAACACAAACGAACAATGAAGAACGGAAAATGAGAGAAACGAGTAATTAATTATCAAAAGATTTTTACCTCTTTTCTTCAGCACGCTCAACATTGCTTTTCACTGACGTTTAGAATCTGAAAAGAACAATTTAGAGAAAAGATTGAGGAAAAAATCTTCTCTATAGCGCTATTGAGAAGAATTTTCTAGGCTGACGCAAAAAAAATGGAAGAAAAAATGACTACTGATAAAATTAATCCCTTTATGAGCTTAAGGCTCAGAGTAATGTGAAGATCACAAAATCAAGAAGAGATTGTGCATTGTGTGAAACGAAAACTTTCTTGATACCAAAGAAAAGGTGTTAAGTTGATGAAAAGTTTTGGAATCAACAGTGAAAATTGTTCAATTTTCGATCTTTTAAAGTCAATTTGGGTTCACTCCCAAGCAGATTCGGGAGAGTGAAAACGTGTTTTTCGTAAAAAAACTATAAAAACCTCTACGAAGAAATTGGCTGAATGAATTTCTATGAAAATTTGGCTATATACGAAACATTTTGTGCTCTACCTTTTATCCATAAACACCAAGATAGGTTTCCTTAGATAAAATGCCTGAATCGCATCATCGAACCGTCCCTTTTTTGATTTTTTGACTACCCGACTTTACGCTCCCAAAAAGATGCAGACTTAAGACATTTTAAACCCGTTTTAATGTTATTTTGCAGAAAAATAATTGGTCTTTTTAATAAAATAAACCGCAGTTCAATTGGTTCATTTTTTGGCTTTAAACAGAAGTACGAAAATGAACGAAAAACTGAACAACGTAATAACTAAATATTTAACATGCTTGTCAAAAATTTTTTCATATTGTTTAACACCAATATTCAAATAGATACCGTATTTTTCCTAATAGTAGTGCACCCTAAGCGTCGCCTAAATTAGCTCGAAAACTCGAGAACCGCTCATCAGAACCTATTGATGTGGGGTCGGAAAATATGGCTGACGATGAGATCTAGTGGGGGATTTGAGTGTTGAGCTTCTGCAAAAGCTTGGAAACCGTAAAATAGTCACTAATTTGGCTCGCCGGGCTTCACTACTATTAGAGAAAATACGGTATTCACCGACCTGACCTATACACTTACTAGGGAAGGTCGCCAACTTAAGATGAAATTTCAAAACGAGACCTATCCTAGTTAGAGAGTTTTGTCGGATAGAGCTCTAACAGCTAATGAAAAGCATTACCATTGTTGCAACCGGGATAAAATAGACGTCACTTCTTCATGTAGTGCAAGAAGCAGCGTTCTCGACTCCGCTGAACTTGGCACAGCTGCCCATTGTATAGAAATCTCGAGACCGCTTATCAGAACCTAACGATGTGGGGTTGGAAGCTGACGATGAGATCTAGCAGGGGAGTAGAGTGTTGAGCTTCTGCAAAAGCTTGGAAACCGTAAAATAGTCACCAACTCGGCTCGCCGGGCTTCACTACTATTAGAGAAAATACGGTATATTTTATTTAAGAAACTCTAAAATTCATTTACCATTTACTAGAATTTTAATATGTAATAAGATCTTATACTTGATCATAATTTAGATCATTTTGGCTTTTAACTATCAACCAGTTAATACAGCCACATTTTCCACATCGATAGTGTAGTGTTAAAAGCTAGTTTATATGATAGAAATGCTTAAAGATGAAGATAACATCATAACCATTCAAATAATTAAATCAAAAAAGCAGAATCATTTCTGAAAATTGAAAACTCTTTGAAATAGAATGAAACTGCTTTGCAGAATTAAAGCTGAGTTCTCCTTTGAATCAGTTACTTCAAAATCTCAATCGGGGTTTGGTGAAACCTCGCCAGTAAACCTTCAAAAGATTCCCAAACAAATAAAGTATTAACTTTTCTAATCCTTTCCAAACGATCCTTTTCATTTTTCGATAAGAACGCTCTCAAATTCTCTCCACAAATTTGCCCGTTTGCTTTCGCAAGCATCTCGATTTTTCGGTCACGTGGAGAGAAAATTTTTTCAATTTCTCATTCTTATAACTTTAAATTATACATAAACTAAAAACTATAGCTGCTTAAGATAAATTGTTTGTAGTAGTAATTACAGCCTTACCGTAAGGTTCATTCTGTATTTGTCTCTTCACATTGATGACATTACCGACTTTCAATGGCCTCTTAAAGCACATGGCAAAGTCTGAAACAACGATATACTATTAAAACTCAAAAATTACCGCGTCTATTGATTTGTGATAATGAATTTACAGATTGGCATTGAGTGATGAATACGGTAGATTTCGAAAGGAGAAGGATCATTTTAGAGAACGAAGATTCGGGGACTTTGCTTCTAAATATAGACAGTTTTTAGTTTGACTTTGATCTCATGTTTATATCTTATTATCAGAATCAACTCAATTGATACTCAACGGGTGACTTCAGCTTTTTAAATTCACCAAAAAAAAATCGTTGAAATTGTTTCCATCATCAATTTCCACATTCAACTTGTTTCAAATTGGCGAAGATTTTCTTAAATGCCGAAAGTTTCTTCTAATTAAGATCATTAAGATCATTAAGTTCATTAAGATCCAATATTTCTATCACGTCCAACTTGTGAAATGATCCTCGCAGATGAAAGAGCTGAAACCGACAAAGATTCTCATTAATCATTGAAATCATAAAAAGATGAGATCGTGATAAACTTTTGGCAAGCGTTTGACATCAACAAATATGTTGCCTGCTTTCATTTTAGAAGTGCATAATGAAATTCGGGCCTGGCCAAGCAAAGCCAAGGTTTAAGCCAATCCAGACTTGACCTCATGACCGATTTGCATCTTGAAACAATACAAAGCTTTTATTCAAAAATAGTCGCTGCTTTATTCACGGAATTGCTAATCATTTGAAAAAGATTCTTCAACCTGAAAACTTTCTCTTTATTTTTACCATAAAGATAGACAGACTGAATAAATTATGGCAAGATTACGGTAGTTGCAGGCGCTTTTCTCGAAAGCCCGGACAAAAACTAAACACGGCATCGGATTCTTCAGGCATTTGCATCTCATTGCCGTTTAAAAGTCTCAAACCCTCTTTGGAACGTTCCCTTGTGAGTTCTTTGTTATAACGTATATTCATGGAGGAGTCCTCCATGAATATACATGTCTCCTCCTCCCCATTTGGCTCCATTTCTATAATTCATTTGAAAAACCCAAAAAAGATTGGGAACTTTCTGGAAAATGAAAAATCTAGTCACTAATTACATAACTATGGGCTTTGTCTTTAAGCCGACTTTGTCTTTAAGCCGACTTTGTCTTTAAGCCGACTTTGTCTTTAAGCCGACTTTGTCTTTAAGCCGACTTTGTCTTTGAGCTGGTCTTTGCCTTTGAGCAGACTTTATCTTTGAGCTGGTCTTTGCCTTTGAGCCGACTTTGTCGTTGAGATGGTCTTTGCCTTTGAGCAGACTTTGTCGTCGAGCTGGTCTTTGTCTTTGAGCAGACTTTATCTTTGAGTTGAGGAGACTTTGTCTTTGAGCAGTTGGTCCACTCCTAAAGGCAAATGTGTTAAAGATCAAGCTTTCTGAAGCCTCGTTAAATATTGTCTTTGATCGGAAAAACTCGGTGGAAAAATGCTTATCAATATAAAGAAATGCTATTCTATTCCTTCTTTGGCACTAGACAGTTTCTCCAAAATCAATTCGATGATTCACATAAAACAAAATTCTTTCTCCATTCAATTTTATGCTGCAACCGTAATGAAAAGACTTATCCAGCTTTGGCAAAAAAATCTAAAAGAAAATAAAGGAAACTTTCAGATTGAATTTTAGTTGCACCTGCTTTCTACAATCACCATAAAGCACTTGTGTTTTATCGATTTTTTCAAATCTTCAAAACAGAGTTCATGCCCACTTTTTTTGAAAAATTCCACCTGTCCACCAAATTTGAGCAACAGTGCATGGAAATTTCACTTTTCGTAAAATAAAATGGAATCCCACTTGATTGGAGCCGATCCAATCCCGTATCGATCCGAAATAGCGCTGATTTTCTTACTCTTTGCTGCGATTACAATAGCTTTTATGATCTTTGTCGCATATAAAAGCACACCGAAAGTAATGATCGGCTATCGGGTTCATATTTTTGATAGTCTGGTGAGTGAAGTTGCGAGCATCGTAGTTTGAGTGTGTTCCTTTCGAGTAAATGCTCGAGTAAAATTCGCATAAGTAACTTTTACTCGATTAATCGACTTTTTTCGGTCGAGTAACTACGAGTAATCCTCTTTACACGCCTAGTAAATTGAATATCTTTACATTTGAAGGGAATTTTCCATTAAAGCAGTTCAACGGCTGAATCTCTTTAAAAGGATTCGTATATAAGCCGGCGTTCGTGATTTTTTGCGCCAATTTTTTGGGAGTTCGAGAAATGCTACCTTTTTTTGTGCAACGGCCCATCAGCGCACCTTTTTTCGCGTTTTAAGAGCTCTAACAAGCTAAGATTACCAATTTCTATTCCAAAAGGTGCTTTCCTGGGTAATTTTAGGGAGTAAAACCCAAATTTTGACATATCAGAGCTTGTGGAAGCAAACGGACGGAGTTAGGCATGGGGAAAGTTTTCTGTAATTTGGGCTACCCATTTTATCTTTTAAATTGATTCCACAAGCTTTGGTATGTCAAAATTTGGGCTTTACTCCCTAAAATTACCCAGAAAAGCATCTTTTGGAATAGAAATTGGTAATCTTAGCTTTTTAGAGCTCCTAAAACGCGAAAAAAAGGTGCGCTAATGGGCCGGATGCGCAAAAAAGATAGCTTCCAATTTTTTGCAATAATTTTCGCCAAAAGTACGGTAATTTTTGCCAAATGTGCGTTTAAAAAAACGCATTACTCGCGAGGAACACATTCTAATCGTAGTTAAGAGTGTTCCAAGTGAGATAAAAAAGCCAGGGTCCGGTCTGACAACCGTGAGGTCAGGATTAGGTCCCGGTTCAGGACCAGGTTCAAGTTCGGGATCAGGTTCGGGACCAGCTTCAGGGCCAGGGTCAGGTTCGGGACCAGGTTCAGGGCCAGGTTCAGGTTTAGGTTGGGACCAGGTTCAGGGCTAGGTTCAGGTTTAGGTTGGGACCAGGTTCA